CTTTGGTAACAATGGCTGAGTGAGCCATTACTGCCTGAAGACATCAGGACTCCGTAACTGGGATTTTAAGATAATTAACTCTTAAACAGGTTGGCATGATAAATGAGATGGTTTATATATTGTAGGGTGGTGAGAAGCTGGAATTGAATCCACTCTCTGCCACTTCCCCATCCAACACCCTACTTTTCCTGGCTGTGACCAGGAATCCACTTAGGTCTTCAGGGTTGAGAGGAAGCCACTGGTCCAAACATGGACACACCACCCTGGGTCGATTATTCTCGGAGTAGCTACTAGGGCAGATTCCAAACCAGAAGATCAGTTTATAATGCAAAGTGCAGGCGAGACATGCATGTTTTAATAGAAAGTCCAAATTGAGTCAAAGACCCAACATATCTATCCCTGTGGGAGAAGGACAGATGTTTGAGTGAGGTCACAGCGGATAGTTTCTGAGGCCCCATGGATGACGTATTTAGAGTTCGGGGTTAAGAAGTCTAGCTGTGGCCGGCGGGTGGTATTGAGGCAGGGAGGCAGGACTGTGGCACCCGGCAGGTTAAGACTTTTGCTCCTACAGCTTTGGGTTAAAGAAATATGAGCAGTAGCCCCAACAAGCTCACCTCCATGCTAAAACCATAAACAACTGACATGGGGCTCTTTCCTTTTCCAAGGTGTAATTTGATCTTGGGGTGGGACAGAGTGTGCATGTGCAGGTTAAGGAGGCTCAGCAATAAGGACTAGAAGGATTCCTATATTCCTCTGCTCCTTTAGTAGGTTAGGCCCCTTGGGATCCCATGGTAATCCAGAGAAGACAAAAACAGTTTGGTTTCCAGAATCTTAGAGGGTTATATTTACCCTCGATGCTTAAGGGAACACACTATGTACATCTCAAGTGTGTCCCCAAAAGAGTATATTTTGGGGGCACCTGGGTGGCTCAGTGTTGGCTAAGCGTCTGTCTTTGGCTCAGGTCCTGATCCCGGGGTCCCGGGATCAAGTCCCGCATCGGGCTCCCTGCCCAGCAGGGAGCCTGCTTCTCCCTCTCCCTCTGCCTCCGCTCCCCCTGCTTGTGCATGCTCTCTCTCTCTCTTTCTGACAAATAAATAGATAAAATCTTTAAAAAAAAGTGGTGTATTTTGGTCAAAGCTTATATAATTGTGTAAAGAATGATCATGTATAAATGTGAAACCACAAACCTCAGCCATCTCAGGGCAATTACTAGCCGAGTTGGGATAGGAGGAGGAGCCTGTCAATTAACTCCTTACCTCCAGGTTTGTCTTAGGGGTATCGTTTTATTTTTTTCTTGAGAAAATGCAGTGCCTGCACATCAGCAAGAAGACCAGATAGATCCAGACTTTTCTTAACACCCGGGGTATTTCTTAGATCTTTCTCCGTACCTAGCATCAACAAATCACATGAATTTCACCAAATTGTGTACATTTTACATGTCAGATAGAAGAATAGTGAAAATGAAGTGTTTTATGACAGTGTGATGGTGTGAATTATTATTGAATGACCCTGTTTAAGTAAAGGAATGCAAATTGATATGTGGCTGTTCAATAAGGCCAATCTTTGAGAACAAAGAAATGGTAACCCGAGGATTTACTCCAGACCTCTGCTCCTTAGGCAGATAGCCAAGAATAGCCCCTCAATTCTGGTTCAAGTCCCTGTTTTACCAACACTTTACCTCCTCCCCTGCCAGGACAATTCCCACACTGCAGGACATCTCTACTAATGAGAAAATCAAACTTGGGATGAAGGAGGTATGGGGATGCCTCTTTAATCATTAAGCATCTTACATTACCCCTCAGATAGTACTTGTGCTGGTCATGTGGACCACAACACAACATTGCATTTCAGAAGAGGGCACAGATGACCAGTGTTAAAGGAAATCTCCTGATTCCAGCGGATAGGAGTTGTAGAATTCTAGATTGGACTGTGGCTCATCAATTATGTGGTGCCTCTTGGTGAGGCACTTATGTAGCACTGGGCCCTCACTAGGACCCCCAGGACCAGACCATCTACCCCATGGCTGGAGGAAAGCAGCCAGGACCAGTCTTTGGGATTTGAAGTATACAACTGAATCCTGTCCAGGAGGATGGCTGGGATTCTAATGAAAGAGGACTTCCAAAGGTTAAAAGCTTGGGACTAGTATAGGGAATTTTGGTGAGCTCTTGGGAGACTCCCAGCTGCCATTAGGTTTTATTGTTGATGATTAGGTAGTCCCATTTACCAAGGAGCTGTGCTCTAAAGTCATTGACCCATCTGGGAAGGCTCCTCAGGTTCATGTAGGGTCACAGGAATTGGCTGGAGCTGTCTGAGTACCAAACTCAGAGTGTTTATCCAAACGAGGGCAGAAGAGATGGTGTCCAGCTGACAAAACATCAAGAGGCTTCCTTGAGCAATAGAGACTTCTTCTTTCCATGCTCTTCTTTCCTCCGTCGAATAAATGGGTTGATGCTGGAGAGGCAAATATCCTTAAATCCCTCACAGGGGGAACATGAAAAAAAAGTGATTGCAACCCAACATCAGAGGATAGTGACTGAGAGATGTACGCGGTGCCCTGAGAGCACGGGGCGGGGGCAGTGAGCCCCATCTACGTGGGTCAAGGGCAAGAGGCAGAGACTGCGTTGAGTCTTGAAGAATGAGTAGAAGTTTGCCAGTGTAGACACGGAGTGTCCCAAGCGGCTGGAATATGTATAAAGGCTGAGAGGCCAGAAGAGAAAAGGTCTACTGGAAAAGGTTTAGTTTTTAAGAGGAAGGATCTCCACCCCCCTCCTCACCAGAATGCCTGGATCCCTTTCCCCATCTGCCCATCTCCTCACGCCCCACTCTGCAGGGCTCTATGCTGCTGCCACAGGAAATTGCTTGTTCTTCCTCAAATGATTGTTTAAATATGTATTTCTGTATTTACTAGAAGAGTTCGGCGTTTTTCAAATGCTGATTTACTGTCCTTTAGGGGATTGCTTGTTCTGATCCTTGGTCTATTTTTCTATTGTTTGCCTTTGTAATATTTACTTGTACCAATTATTTACATATCCTGGACACAAATTTTCTGCCTTTTTTATTTGTTACAGACATCCTCTTTCACTCTTGTCTTTGAACCTGTTTATGGCATCTTTTTTTCATTCAGAATTGTAGATGCTTCAGGTAATCAAAATTATCCTTTTCATTACAAAAAAAAACTCCTACTTTCTGTACCTAGCTGAAGAAACCTTCACTAACCTGAGGACATAAAAGTCTCCTTCTATAATTTGCCCAATGGATTTAAAGTTTTGTCTTTCCCATTAGGCTTTAATACATCTAGGGTTACATTTGGTATGAGACAGTGATCTAATCGGCTTTTTTCAATTAGAAATCCATTGCCACAGCATCATTTATTAAAGGGTTAGTTCTTTGTCCTCAGTTTGAATCACCTTTTTCACTGAATTGCAAGACCCCATGTAGATTGAGGTTTGGGTTCTCTATTCTACCTCATGGCTCCACGGTTATATTATGTATCGTGCATATGGGGTCATTTTATCTGATAAGGCAAGTTTTCCAGCTTTATTACTCTTTTTCACAATTGCCTTGATTACTTTTAGACCTTTAATCTTCATTTCATTTTTAAAGTCAGCTTTTGAGTTCTGCAAAACATACTTTCAGAATTTTTCCTAGATTTATTAAAGTTATAGATTAAGTTGGGGAAAGTGAGATAGCCTTATGATACGGAGTTTTCACTGTGTGACTGTAACATGTTGTGTCACTTTTGTTCAGGTCAGGCAGACATATCATTTTTGGATGTGGGGCAGAGAGGAGTGAATTCTCCTTATAGAGATGGAATACACTCGATCAGAATGTGAATTCTTGGGATATTGTACCATGAAAAGGAAGGCACAAAATCTATTGCACAGATTCATTTTAAATATCTATAAAGTAATCTGAAACAAAGAAAAAAATAGCAACAAACAACTCTTTCAAAGTTAAAATTAAGGTAAATGAGTGCATAAAAAATAAAAGTAATCTGAAACCAGTGGAAACTGTACAAAATGTCAGAGAAGGAACAAACTCTTAACCTCAACAACTATTAGAATGACAGGCAGAAATGCAGAGCTCAGCTGACAGGGACCCTCAAGTAAAAGGAAAGCAGCATCATAGTTACACAGAAGAAGGGGTTAGAATAGAAAAACCTACTGTGAAGTCACTGCAACAACTTGAGTATGGGCACTATGGAAAATACTTAGAAGCTGAATTGAAGCAGTAGTAAATGGTATCAGTAAAACGGAAGTCAATCTTGGGAAATAAAGAAGCCCCCTTCCAAATCTAAAATTCTGTAATTCCATATGTCCTAGAGAAAGTGTCCCTCTTTTTTAGGAAAAAGATTCCTTTTTAATATAATGAAAGTCTGTAAAGTTTTTCTTTTTTTGTTTATTATTATGACTAGTTATATTAGATTTTCTTAAATGTTGAACCATCAGTACATTCCTGAAATAAACTCCACGGATTCATTAATTATTATTCTTTTAGATTCCTGCTGGATTTGTTTTGCTAATATTTTATTTAGAGATTTTGCATCTATATTTACAAATGAAGTTTTATTCTTTTTGAGGAGGGGGATTTGTTTATGTTTGTGTGTTCAGGCATCTAGTTTGTGCTAATTTCATTTAAATAAATTGGAATTGTTTTTCTTCCCTAATCAGTGAACGATTTAAATAGCACAAACATAATGGTTTTTTTTAAAGATTTGAAACTGACCTCCGAATGTGGGTGGGCCCAGGGATTTTTTTTTTTTTTTTTTTTTTTTTAGTGCGTTAGTGTGTGGAGTGGGGGTGGAAGGTGGAGTGAGGGGAAGTTCTTTAACAAAAATTAGTCTAAATACCTTTTCAGATAATTTCCAGTTATAGAAGTTTCTGATAATGAGCCCAGTTAATGGATAAGTTGAATGTGAAATAATAGAACATAAAGAAAAATGATACAAGGTAAAGAAAAATGAACACCTGATTAAGTAACATCTGCTTTTGTTTTCCTAGATCAGGAAGTGTGCTGCACCACTGGAATGAAATCTATTACTTTGTGGAACAGTTGGCTCATAAATTCATCAGGTGAGAAAGAATGTGTAGTGCTCTGCCATAAGTAAAACTAGCCTATGTTTGTTATTCTACTAATTACTAGCTATTTCGGGCATGCTTTTTGACAAAGGTAGACTCTCAGATCTTGGACCAGAGACTTGACTTTGTTTTCATCTTTGCCACATGTTAGAATAACTTTCGGTTCTGTGTTTTTAGGACAACAAGACCAAAATTTTACCTCTGTCTCTCTTATTGGATTATATATTCTTCTAGAAGGATCATTAACATTTTTTTCACAGTGGACCACTCTGGGCCAGTTGGCTTATCTTAGTTGGACTCGTGTAAACTGTGTAGAGTGTAAGGTGACCAACTCATCCCAGTCTGCCCAGAACTTTCCTGGCTACAGCACTGAAAATTCTCACATTCTGAGAGCTCTCCTCAGTCCTGAGCAAACCACCATGTTGGTCAGCTGAGCTATGTGTCTTATCAGATAGAATTCTCTGAGCATTCTTTACACCACTTTCCAAGGGAGGACAATGCAGTTTTGAACATCGTCACTATAAATATTGCAGAGCCTTGGAGGTCCTACTTTCCAGTAAGTATAGATGCCCACTAGCAAAGGAAAGAAGGCCATTTCACCCTCTTTGGATACAGCCTCCAAGGGGTGACAGCTGTGATTGCTTTCATGGATGTGCTTGAAGCCAGTTGTCAAGGTCTTTGGTAAAATTGTCCTGATCATTGTGAATTCTAAGGCAGCTCCTCTCCTGTGTCATGGCATCTGTAGAGTCTTCCAGCCCATGTGAGTAACCATAAACTTCTTCTTTGAATAATGTTTTCTTTATCTCAGAAGACAGGTTGTCCCCTGAGATCAAAGTAATGACAAACACATTCCCCCCAAATTCAGTTACTGGTCTCTTTCCTGCCTGCCTGATTGGAGGGAAAGGGTTAGGAGGTGTCCTCTCTGCGATGCCAAAAATTGGAAGCTGCAAGCAGGAAGCATCTAAAACCAGATGAATGGGAAAAGCAGATGCTGAGAGGAGAGGGGAGAAGGGGAGATAAGAAGGAAATACATGGGTAGTATTAAAAGCAAAATATTTGAGGGATTTATAGAAGCTTAGAATTGAAAGCAACAACTTCCCAAGCTATCCTAAGAGGTATTCGCTACCCTCAACTTAAATAGCTCTGGTGAGAAACTGCTGTCTTTGGAGGCAAACAGTCCAATAGTTGGACAATTCCAGTTTCCAGAAAAGCCTCTTTGTCATTGAGCCAACATGTCCTTTCCTATACTCTCATCCGTTATATCCATTTTATCCTTTGGAGTGCTATAAAACAAATCTGCCTCTAGACACTTGACGGTATCTGTTGTGTCTCTATTTGCTCTTCTGGTCTTCTGTTCTCTCTGAGGACTCTACTGGAAAAGGCTTTGAAGTTAGGCAGATGTGGATTTGAATCCAAGCTCCATTGTGCAACTCTAGCAATTGACTTACCTTGGTTGAACCCTGGTTTGCTTTTGAAAATTAGAAGACAAAACATGTGTAAACCAACTAGCCCAGCACCTGGCTTAGAGTGGCCACTCAGCACTTCTCTTTCCCAGTTCATTCAGCAATTCCAGATGCCTCACTATCTGAGTAGCAAAGACACTGAGAAGTAGGGGTTCGGGGTACTTAACCCAATACTTTCATTTTATTGATAAGGAAACTGAGAAGTAGAGAAGTTGACATGGCTTAATGGAGACCACGAGGCACTTTCCTCTGGTTGTCTCCTCTGGCCCTTCTTGGCTATGGACCCCCCTCAAAGTGTGTCACCAAGACATCACGGTCATACAAACTGTATTTTGACTGCTGCAGCCCAAGTACCTGTGGTAGCACCTGACACATAGCGCATGCTCACTCAATAGTTTTTAATAAATGGACAGATTTTGAAAAGGAATGAATGATTTTTATTTATTCATTTTAATAAATAGTCTAGGCAGCTGATATTGCAGGGGGGTATTCATTGAATAACAGTGGCCGATGCCAGTACAAATATTACCATTTCCAATTTTAATGGGATCCTGGAAATTTCAAGTTCTTTTATTTGTCTTTATTCTGACCCCCTCCCATTTTCCTAATAATGATGCTGACTCTTCATGATTTCCTTTAAGACCCCAACCCATACCTCTCACCCATCACTTTCAGCAAAGAACTTCACCTCCTATTTCACCAAGAACCCTGGAAATAGCAGAAAAGTGATGTCCTCATGTTCCAGATCTATTCTTAAAAGATGCATGCTTGCCCTTCCCATTGTCTCTGAGATTCAAACATCCCCCCTTTGAAGGTGACCCCTCCATTTTAGTCCATTTATCCCATTGTCTCCAATATCCTCCAGGTCTTTGTTTCTCTCTTGGATTTTTCTCCACCTTTCCTCTGGCTCCATTTCCACACCAATAGACATAAACAAATCTTTCCTGCCCCATGTCTGGAAAAAAAAAAAAACCCAAAACAGAAAATAATGAATCTCCTAATTACGTCCCTCTATAGATACTATAGATACCTATTTCTTACTGGCATCACTTGCTCACTCAAATATCTTTAAAGATTCAGTGTCTGCAGGGGCGCCTGGGTGGCTCAGTCGTTAAGCGTCTGCCTTCAGCCCAGGTCATGATCCCAGGGTCCTGGGATCGAGCCCCGCATCGGGCTCCCTGCTCAGCGGGAAGCCTGCTTCTCCCTCTCCCACTCCCCCTGCTTGTGTCCTGCCCTCCTTATATCTCTGTCAAATAAATAAATAAAATCTTTAAAAAAAAAAAAGATTCAGTGTCTCCATATCCGTACTTTTATCATTCATTTCTTGACCTGCTTCCATCTGGCTTCCATCCCACCTCCCACCTGCTGGCTCTCACCAAAGCCCCTAAGTGATGCCCTAAGAGGACAAAGACAGTCTTGCAGTGCTTATTCTGCTGGATACAGGAGCTTCGTTGGATTGAGAATTTTCTCTCCTTGAAATTCTCTCCTCCACTGGCTTCTGGTTTCTTCTTTCATCCCACTGACCAGAGCCAGGTCTTTAAATGTTGGTGTTGGTTCTAGCAGTGGCTCACTTCCCTTCTCACTGCTGACTCTGTCTTGGAACAATTCTACTCACATCAGTATGCTGAAAACTTCCAAATTAGGTCTCTTGCCAAGACTCATATACCAAATATACCAATTGCCTCTTGGAACCTTACATTTCTCACATTTCAAATTCATTTTTTCCAGAGCTGAACTCTAAACAAAAGAAGCAGGATAATATATGGTGCTTAAGAACCCAAGTTCCAGAACCAGAAGCTTCATTTTAAGCCCCAGATCCACTACTCTCCCACTCTGTGACCTTGGGGAAATTACTTTATCCTTCAGGGTCTCAATTTCCTTTCGTGGAAAATAGGAATAATAATAGTACTGATCTCATAAAGTTGTTACAAGTTTAATGAGATAATACATGCAAATCACTTACAATAGTGTCTGGCACACTGTAAGCACTTGATAAGATTGACCGTTATTATGTTATTATGATAATTATGATGGTCATTATTATCATTTAGGACATGGTGTTTTGCTGATTAGCAGCAGTGCGGTGGTAACAGGCAGAATGGTGTCATGGACAGAGAGCCCAGGTCTGTTTCAAGATACCAACATTGAATTCTCTATATACTGCTTGGGCTCTTACCAAGTATTAAACACCATGGTAAGCGTTTCCAAAGATGCATCAGACACATGGTAATGAATGTAGACTTCATCCTGGCGGCAGCAGGAACCATTGGAGATTTTATAGCAGATGAGTGACGGGTCTAATTTATATTTTGGGAAAATAGTTCCGGAAGCAGTGTGAAGAATGAATTAGAACAAAGAATGTTGCCCAGCAAGGTCACCAGCTAGGAAACGATTGCAGTGGTCAGATAGTTGAGGGCAAGGTCCTAAGTGAAGAAATGGAAAAGGGGGCGTTTGAGAAATGTTGGAGGAAGTGGGAACTATAAGATATGGTGGCCAGATCAGGGAGGGGAAGGTATTGCATTGTGAAGAAACAGGTTCATGCTGTGACAGATGAAGCGGTTGGCCACCCAAAGAGAGCCCAGCAGTCTACTGGTGAATCCACTACACCCTGATAGTCCATCTTTTGTTTTGTTTTTTTTTTTAATGTTTGTCTTGTTTTTGTTATTTCTGCCGGTCCATCTTGAAGACAGAGAAATATGTTTCGTCCTCAGCTGAGAGTAGTTCTGTCTCCCAGAGTGTGGATTTCCCATGGACAAAGCTCCCAAGCACTGCCATCTACAAACCATGCCACTGTGTTCATGAATATTGAGAAGTGTAACTACCAAGCAGAGTGGATATTCTTGTGGCCCATCAGCACATTCTCTCCTTATAGGATAACCTCCTTGGGAAACCAAGGCGAAATTAAAAGTTGTGGTGATCCTGCTTTCAGAGCAAAGGGAATTCATAGTATGATCTTAATGGCTGATGGCATCCAACTGCAACAAGCTCAACCACTCTCCACGTTAGCGTCCACCCGACTGCCATGGGGACGCCATCCAATCTTATCTATTGGGGTCGCCCTTCTACAAACACCATGCAGACCAGTCTTCTTCTGGGGACATATCTCTTCAGACAGAGCACAGGGCAGTGATGAATTTTAGCTTTTGTACTTGTAATCTACCCTTACTGAGCAGTGGGGTCAAATCAGAGGCAGCCTCCAGGAAGACAATGCAGGTCTTGCCTTTGGTCCACAGCTTCGAGTCTGCTGCTGGCTAAAGACTTGCAGCACCAGCTGTGGAGGTCCTCTTTGATTTGAAGGGCCTCAGCTTCCACAGCCGTGATACAAAAGGGAGAACAGAGAAGACGACCAGAAGGAAATGGCATTTCACAGTCTTTCTATCTGCCCTAATGGAATTTCTTTTCCTTTCCAGCCCACAGCTCAGAATGTCCTTTATTGTCTTCTCTACTCGAGGCACAACCCTAATGAAGCTAACAGAAGACAGGTAAGGATGCTCGCCTTCCCTGTGCCTCAGTCAGTTGAGCGTCTGCCTTCGGCTCTGGTCATGGTCCCAGGGTCCTGGGATTGAGTCCCGCATCAGGCTCCCTGCTCAGTGGGGAGCCTGCTTCTCCCTCTCCCTCTGCCTGCCACTCCCTCTGCTTATGCTCTCTCTCTCTCTGGCAAATAAATAAAATCTTTAAAAAAGAAAATAAAGCCCACCTTTTCTTGAGTAGTGTGGATATTTGTACCCTAGTCCTGGCCCTGTCAGTCATTTTAATCTTATAGTTCTCTTTTCACTTAAGCCTTGAACTTTGCACATTGACCCATCTGCTAGTTTACTCTGTGATGACTGATGGAATTCCCTGATGTTGGTGAAATTCTGTAAATGACTAAATCACATTAAGGTAAAACTTATATTTGATTGGCAACTCGGTCTGCTAACTTGGAGCAAAATGGGAGCAAGCCAGATTTTGGGGGGATTCTATTTTCTTTTATTTAAATTAGATTTATTTTGTGGATTAAGATTTCAGAGATATAATAAGCATACTGTGAGAGAAGTAAGAACTTGAAATATTATCATACATAATTACTAGGGCAGGGACTAGAAAGGGAGGGTGTACGGGACCACGGAATAAAGGGAAATTTGAATCAGGTGTGGAAAAGTGTTGTTGACATAAAAGGATTACTTAGACCTAGCTGAACAAAAATATTATTTTGGATTTTACCACTTACCCATGAAAGCTAGCAAAAATCGAGACATGCCATTTGTTCATAGTTAGGATGGTGTATTGGAGTGGAGGTAACAGTTTTCCTGAGTTAAGGACTCTGTCCACTTTTTACAAAATGCTATGGTAGGTGGGGGCCAGGGGTGAGGACACATGTGGGACTGTTGGCAGACTTGCGTATGGACACATAAGGAAAAGGAAAGGAGGAGGGGCAAGCAGAGGGAGGACAGGGAGACTTTCTTCTTCTAGAGAGCAGAGGAGGACCAACAAGATGGAGTAAGGTTTTCTGGATTTTGCACCAACACAGCAAATCTGAGCTAGTCCCCATTTTTCTCCACGTTTTTGTTTCCTGTGTGTAACAAAAAGAATACTCTGTACCATATAGAAGTTTCCAAGTCCTGTTTCTCCTTTAGCAGTATCTTTTATTCACACATGCCATTTGCGATGCACAGAAACCCCATTTTAAAAACAGGGGTTTCTCATTTCCTATTAACAGAAGTAGAAACTGAGGCCATATCATGTTCCTAAGGATGCCAAGCAGAACCAACACCAGATGCAGGCTCCACATTCTTGCCATTGTACCTTGCTGCCTTCTGTTATTACACAGAGAATCATAAAGCCCAGGAAAGTTATGAGACTTTCCTTCAATATTGGCCAAGGATTTTAAGAAGCTCTGAGACAGTGTCTCTGGCTTATGGGCTATATGGAAGATTCCTCCTCTCTCTGTCTTTACATGATGACATCCTTTATGCACAGATGGCTTTTCTTCCGAGAAAACCTTCTCTTCCATTCTTCACATCTTCCTACAACCCAGGCTCCCCAGTGCTGCTTCTTGCTGACTCCACTCGTTGCACGCTTGAGTTTGGCCCAGAGACCTAGATCTCACATCCCTTGTGGGTATTTTGTGTGCTACTGCTCACGGCCTCTGGGAAATGGGGAGGGCAGAGGGGGTCACAGATTTATAAACACTGTTAAAATGCCAAGGCTTTCAGACTCGTTTTGGTTATGCTAGTTCAAATTAGTCATCTGAATCAGACTTTGAATATACTGTTTTATGCCTTAACTTCACTACTCCTAGTTTCCCATACCAAGGAGAAGACGGAGATTAGAATCTCCACTTTGCAGGAAGCAGTATTCAATATTTAAGGGCTAAATATGCATCAAACAGCCAAAAATGCCTTGCTAAAGGCTGTATGGGTTTCACATGGTGACTGCTTGGCCTTACCTCTGGGTCAGCTGGCAAAGCATGAATGATTTACTGACACTTCCCCAACCTTCTCAGCCCGGGAGAAATGTGGATGAGACTTCCGTCTCCAAAATACTTTCTCATGAGATTGGCTAAAAGAATTAGGCTTTCAGAACTTCCAAGCTGGTACTATTTCTGAAAGATATGACTTCCAGTGTTTTAGTTGGTCACAGGAATTTTTATGTTTTTCTCCATATCTCATTTGATCTTCACAATATCCCTATAAGAGAGTAAAACATGCATTATTGTATGGATGTAATAAGTGAGGACACAGTGTAAGTTAAAAAAAGGTGTTCAAAAACAGGACATGAATTCACAGAGACTCGTTTCAACAAGAGCAAAAGATTATGGGTAAACCAAAAGAAATACTATCAAAGGAATATTTGCATCCAGCTCTCGGGATCAAATCCACATAAAGAAAACCATGGGAAGCTTGAAGAAATAGAACAGAAAATAAATATGGTGTGTTGAGATGTAGTAGAGGAATTACAATCAGAATAATACTTACCATCTGTGTCTTTTATCTGCTAAGTACCTTACGTATCATTTCTCATGTATCCCCATATAACCGTTATAATTTTAATTTCCAATGGGGTCTCATTGTGTTATATGGAATATGCCATTTTTCGCTAACTGCTTTCAAGATTTTTTTTCTTTATCTTTAGCTCTCAGCAGGTTGGCTAAGACCTATCTAGGCATGGTTTTCTTCGAGTTTATCCTATTTGGCTTTGCTGAGCTTCTTGAATCCATAAATTTGTCTTTCACCAAATTTGAGGCATTTGCAGCCATATTTCTAAACTATTTTTTCGGCACTAGTCATTTTCTCCTCTCTTTCTGGGATTCCAATGACACAGATTTAGACCTTTTGGTATGATTCCACATGTGCCTGAAGGTCTGCTCAATTATTTTCCAATCTTTCTTCTTTCTGTTTTTCAGATTAGATCATCTCTATTGATCTATCTTCATGTTCACTGACTCCTTCCTCTGCCATCCCCATCCTGCCACTGAGCTCATCCATTGAATTTTTTATTGCAGATCCTGTGATTTTCAGTCCTAAAATATCTATTTTGTTCTTTTTAAAATTTTTATTCCTCTGCTGAGGTCATCTATCTTTCCATTTATTTCAAGTGTATTTACCTTTACCTCATGGAGCATAGTTATAAGATAAATATATAAATATTTAAATATATATGTAAATATACAGTATATAATAAGATATAACATAAAATTAAATATATTTTATATAATATAATTAAATATACAATGAGATTACATATGAGGTAAATATATTGGATTAACTATATGTAATGTAATTATAGTAGAGTATATAGAAATATAATAGATAATACTAGTAGAAATATAGTAGAAGTGTAATATATAAATACTATAAAATAAATTCATAGAGCATATTTATATGCTTTAAATTCTTTGCCTGGCAATTCCATAAGCTCAGGATTGGCATCTTAATTACCTTCTCTCATGAGAATTGGTCACATTTTCTAGGTGTTGGTACATCAAGTAATTTTAGAATATATCCTAGAAGTTTTTAATACTAGGTTGTTCAGACATCTTCAAATCCTCTGGAGAATATTAATCTTTCTTCTCTACTTGAACTAGGTTCAGACCACAATTTCTATCTCTTCTGTGGGTGGTGGTTTTTATTTCAGTTCAGTTTTGAAAGCCTTTGCTAAGCTGCTGCTTTGAGTCTGTCCTATGCACGTGCAGCTCAGAGATGAGCCTGGGACTTACACAGCTTCACAGAATTACTGGGACCCCCTTCTCCAGTTCTCTATCCTGCAGGATTCCCCACACACTATGTTTCCCACTAAGGCTGCCCTTTGCAATTCCGCTAGCAAGAAGAATGATGTTTCTCTTGGAGTTTGGCCACTACATTGCTTTGTGCCGTTCTCTACTGAGGTCACCCATGGGGCAAAGGCAGGAGTAATCAAAGAGAAATGAAAGTGGGGATTCTCTCCACATTCTTTGAACCCCAACGGCTCCCTTTCCCAGGGGCCTGAGATATGGTAACCTCCCAGGCCACTACCATGTGACAGACCCACCCTCAGTTTAAAGCCCTGAAAGAAAAGAGGGGGGGAAATGTGGAATCCATCCTTGTCTGGGTTACTTCTCAGGTTTTAACTACCCTGCCCAACTCATCTGCTTTGTTTACTTTTTAGAGTCCTTATGTGTTGACTTTTTTTTTTTTTTTGGTCCAGAGTTTCTCTAATAATCACCAGGAGAGATAGCCAGTAGCAAGTTTACTCCGTCTTGCCTATTACTTCCATTTTATAGATAAGGGACACTGAGAATCTGAGTTCAGAGAACTTGCAACGGTCAAATAACAAAAATGGGAGAATTAGTATTCTGATTCTGGTTTCTGGGTTTGGTCCAACTCATGTGTTCTGCATTATATCATGTTGCTCATCCAAGATTTCTTAGCTTCATCAGTTTGCAAAACAGTTGACAAATTGTAACACATTTTCAGGTTTCTTCATCAGCGTAATAAAGGATCCAGTGTTAATTTAAGTACTGTTAGGATACATTATGTTAGTATTAACTACTGCATATGATTCCCTGAGTACTCCCTGGATAGTCTTTTTCCTGGTCTTACTTTAAATACTTCAGATATTTCATCATTTGGAAATGAGATCATCCCAAGGAAGTCCAACTCTTCCTTTAAAAGAAATCAAGAATAGATATTCAATTTAATCAAATGAATTTTTGGCATCTATTAAGATGATATTTTTTTCTTTGACCTACTAACACAGTGAAATGCTTTAAAAAGATTTTTTAATATTGGATCATTCTTGCATTTCTGGTTACACTTGTTTGTCATATATTATTATTTTAATGTGGAGTTGAACTCTTTTCTGTATTTTATTCAGAAATTTAGCATCAGTATTCATAATTATGATTGGACTGCTATTGTCCTTTTTATGACTACTTTTACCTACAGTATTTTTATATATTTTTTTTTACATGTAGATCATTACTTCTAGAAATTAGTCTCATGTAAGGTATAGGGCCAAGATC